TCATTTTACGAAAAAGCACTTGAAATTGAGCAAAAAACTCTTTCTTCAAATCATCCTTTATTAGCAACTTCATATTGGTGCATAGGTAGCGTGTATAATAATATGAAAGACTATTCTAAAGCACTTTCACATTATGACGGTGCTCTGGACATATTCCAGCGTGCATTACCTGCAACTCATCCTTATATACTACCTTTGAAGAACAATATTGAAGCTGTTAAAGAAGAAATTGTAAAGAATAAATGATAAATAAATAAATATTTTGTTCACTGATTTTTTAAGTAGTTTCTTTTTTTGGTGGCAGGTAGTAGGCATGCACCAATTCTAATTCGGTTCGGTTCCAATTCTAGAATTGGTTGGAATTGGTTAGAATTGAAATTGGAAATGGTCGGAATTGGTCAAGAATTGGTTGGAATTGGAATTGGTTAGAATTGGTTGAAATTGATATGGAATTGACTCAAAATGACCAGAAATCGTAGGAACTTTCATATCATTTGCTGAAACTGATCGGAGCTAAGACTAGCTTAGTAAGGATCACTATAAATTACTGAAAATTGATCTGATTCAGCCAGTATTTGTCAAAGTTCTTCTATACTTGACTTAGAATTGATCAGAACTCACACAAAACTGAATAACTAGTGTCAATCCTTAAGCACTATAATTAATAAAAATTAGAATACATTGGAATAGAGATAGCAAAAGTTTATTTCTATTCTAAATCAAGTATAATAAAATTTTCACAAATACTGGCTGAATCAGATCAGTTTTCAGTAATTTATAGTGATCCGTACTAAGCTAGTCTTAGCTCCGATCAGTTTCAACAAATGACATGAAAGTTCCTACGATTTCTAGTCATTTTGAGTCAATTTCAACCAATTCTAGAATTGGTATTGGAATTGGTGCATGTCTACCTGGCAGGTAGGCATGCACCCAATGCCAGTCGGACTGGGTGACTGGGTATATGTTTTAATTAATTCATTATATATTCACTTTTTTGAACTTGCGCTGTCTCAATATACTACAGTTATTTTATATTTGCATAATTTTTGTTGATAATAATAGGAATTTTCAATAAATTCAATATTTCAAGTGATAATAATAAAAAATTTCAATAAATTCACTATTTTCAGGTGATACTTAGCGCTATTCTTATCAACAAATAAATATGCAGATTTAAGATAATTGTAGTATATTGAGATAGCGCAAGTGAAAAGGAGTAAATTTATAATGAATCTGTTAAAACATATACCCAGTTGGACTGTACTGGTGCATGCCTAGTGGCACGTCCGCGCGTACAGGGAACTACTCTGTAAATAATAAAAATGTAATGGGCAAGCCGAGTGATAAGGTAATACACATACATAGGTATATGTATAAATGACCTTCTCGGACATATTTATAATTCTAGTTCTTTACAAGTGCTTCCTGTAATAAAAGAAGAATAACTTATATGGAATTAAAGTGTAATAGTATTGAACGAGGCCTCATATGATGAAGAAAAAGTTAAAAAACTACGATAGATATATATATCGGTTGATATGTCATCAACAGATGTTCTAGTTGAATTCAAGTTCCAAGTATTGCTTTTATGGAGATATAGAAATAGATCATTAAAACTGGATGTATGAAAAAAATGAAATTTATATATTTTATATAGATAACAGCTAATTTTTATAACAAAGTAACATTTTAAATGTTCCTCAAGCTTTCGAATCACAGGCAATGCAAGATTTTCAATTGCCCGACTCAGATCGAGTTAATTATTTATGCATGATTAGAATTCAGTAAGAGAAATAAAAGCTGAAAATAATATAAACCCTTGTCTTGTCTCTGCAGAGTTATGATGGTTCTACTAAATTTTCAACGATATTGATGATAAGTGTTTTTTATCAATAAAAACTGATTGCATCACTCTAAATAATTTGATAGCCCCATGATAAGTTGAGAAAAATTCAGTATTTCATTTTTTCTGACTAGTTGTCCCACATTTATTACAGTCGAATTCGGATATTTACAAATTAATCAGTTGCTGTACTCAACGTCTACAGTCTTTTATTATGACCGGTCGACCTTTTCGAGATTTTTATTCACTTTTGTCATCAAAACAAACGCTTAATATAGATTGACATCACCGAGAATATGTTCTAATGAAAAGAGCTTCCAACACGACGAACAGTCTACTACGTAGAGGTGCTTAAAAGAAAATTATTGAATCACTTTGGACATGTGGGTAAATATAAAACTGGTCAATATGTGACGATGATTGTCGATACCGAATGAAGATGATCACAACCGCGTCTAGACGCACTGCTAGTATGTGCTACTCACATAGACATTATTGTTAGAATTATATGTTATGCTGTTTATATAACCGATACATGTTGTACAATGTATTTTGACAATATGTATAGTCAAAACAAAGCGCGAGTATGATTGTTTCATATATATTTGTTAAATATCTTACCAAATCGATATCCCTTGATTCTAATTTTAGTAGACTTATCTGCCAAATACTCTATAACAATCATAAGAAGTATCCTTGTAACTTATTGTAATAATCTGTAAATGGCTAATGTCATAAGAATAAAATAAGTACGATAGAATAGTTTTTCATTTTTCTGAAACATTTGCAAGCGAGCTAAAAAATAAGTATGTAGACATAAATAAGACTACAGAAAAGATCTATATTCAATCACTCAAAAAAACAAATATTCATGCTCCCAAAATTGATCTCTATGCATGTCTTCCAATAGACCTCATTTTTCTCTTCTATTCGTTTCAAATAATATTGCTATAGTAATCAATCCATAACTTCTCCACTACTAACGGTTTAATCAACAATGCGTTTAATTCTCGAATAGCTTCTCTTTCTGTTCTTACATAAACAGAGACAAATATTTCTTTATAAAAAAAGTTAAAGATTGTTTTTTTACTTTTTCCACTTGCTAACAACGTGCCCATTCTGTAGTGTAAGTGTTTGAACCCGTGGAAAATATTTCATGTAGCATTTTATATATCCATAAGTTTTGCTTTAGTTCACACAGTTGATTAACCACTCGTGACATTTCCTATTTGTCGTCACTTTCTTTATTATTTCCACGAGTAAAGAAGAATCAAAAAACTTTTCTATGTACATTTGTTTTATTTTGAGATATTTAAGAGTCTTTAAAACATAATTACGATTACAGATTTCTATTTGTTTCAGAATAGACAATTCTAAGGCCGATTTAAACATTTTTCAGCGGATAAAGTTTAAATTCTTGAATTCTTTATTATATTTTCTATCTATTGCAAGAAAAGCAAAACTCGGCAGACTCGACATTTTTGAACATGGGTTAGTGCTTTCTACTTATTTAGATTCAATAGTTGTCACATACCATACATTTTGTCAGATATACAGATTATCTTATATCTTTGATTCGATTACTTATTAGAATTACAACATAGTTCCAACATCGAAGTCAAATGCAGTGATTGATACTCATTAAAATACTCGCCTGTAGAAATAATACATATGCATCGAATAATAAAAGGTATTATTGACTGATAAAGTGATAATGTTTTATATATATATATCTATTTTGTTGGATATAGTGTTCCTTGGATTTATGATCATAGGCTGTCTCCTAAGGATCTATCAGTTTCGAGAGATCATTTTTCAAACAACTGGATCGAATCTTCACATTGTTGAATATCTCAACGATCTTAAGTTGCATGTTCGGCAGCAAGTAAATCAATTTATACAATTAAACTTTTGCAAGAAGGATATCAAAGTGTTACAAGTCAATGATAATTATGATTTATCTCAATATAAACATGAATGTCCTATTCATCAATACTCTACTCGTATTATTGAACGAAGTCCATTGATTATCTACATTGAAAAGTTTCTTACTCAAAATGAAATGCAGTATATAATTAAACTGGCGTGAGTAAAAGTAATCTCACATATGTATATCCCTCCCTTTTGAAGCGGTGGAAGTTAAATTGTTGAGTTCTTCTTACTAAATATTGAAGAAAATAAAATAGTTTTAATTTACCCTAGAAGAGATTATAATTTTACCTGCAATATATATATATATGTTAGAGAAAAGAAATTTAAACCTTCAAAAGTCGGCACAGACGATGGAATAGGTGCTATTTCTGAAGGTCGAACGTCAAGTACAGCATATATCAAACCGCATCAAACACCTATTGTACAATGCATCGAGCGGCGATTTGCTCAATTTCAAGGTGATGTTGATGTCGATTGTATCGAGCAATTGCAAGTAGTAAAATATACAAATGATCAACAGGTGTGACATAATTTTATCAAATTTGAATTTACTTTTCTATATATTCCGGTTTCTAGCTTCAGTCAGATAGACAGTACTCACTAGCTTTCATTTTTGACGAAAAACCATGATTTTTCTGTTTTTGTGAAAACTGACTCCAATGAAAGTAAAACATAAGTTAAGTTCTTTTGCTGAGAATTCGTTGCATTATAGAATACCGTTCAAGTTATATAAAAATTCATTTGTTGTGTGTTAAGATTGACCGTTGTTTATTTACATTTACTATTTTAGTATGGACCTCATTATGACTCGATGACAAGTCCGAATCATCTGGAAATTGGTGGTCAACGAGTAACAACATATTTTACCTATCTTCAAGCCAATTGTTCCATGGGTGAAACTGAATTTGTTGCGATTCGATTTAATAGAACATTCCATGAACGATTTTGTGATATTTTAGTTTGTGATGAAAACGTCACCGAACATGGCCTTCGATTTCGGCCAATACCCGGAAATACAATCTTTTGGTATAATACGGATGAGTATGGGCAAGTTGATGATTTGACATTTCATGCAGGTCGTCCACCTGGTGAAAATGGTACCAAAATTGGATTGAATGTTTGGACACGTGTAGATAAATTACGCTCGTCAACTATAAAGTGATGCTGAAGAAATCAGGATAACTGTTTTACCTAATCATTCTCGAGCTTGTTATGTGTTAAACACAAGAAAATTCATGTTTCTGTATTTCACCTGATATAGGTAAAATTCGTTCAATCTAGATTTTATTTTTAAATTAATTCTTTAATAAATTATGAAAAAATATTTACACCTCCATCATTTTTTTCTACAGCAAACCATTGTTGACACATAAGATAAGATTTTTGCAATGTCTATAAATCATGATGTTTTATCACGTTGACCACTATTATCATGCCAAATATATAGGTAATTCAATGGTCCTAATGATCTAAATATATAAAACCTTTTAAATAATCCTTTTAATAAATGAAGCTCTTTACTTCAGAACAGCTATAATAAGACCTTCGGTTCCACCACGTTGCAAAATTTTTCTATGAGGATCAGAAAAAATACGTAGTGCTGTTTCATCTTCTTTACCTGCAAGAATAAAATGAATCTATCAAAGCATTTTTTTGAAATATTTAATATAGGGTGTGGGTGTGGGTGTGGCTAATATACTCATATCCATAACCTCACCCACAGCCACCTACCCACACCCACACCCATCAGTGATTAATATTTTCAGAGAATGTTGTGGACAATACAAGTGCTATTCTTCTATCTGATCATGCTAATGATGTTTGTAGGATATCGATCGACAAATATACATAGTTTTATTTTATACACAATTCTTAAAATTCATTCAACGAATATATTTATTTTGAATAAAATGAAAATTCACTATTCTATAGACGTATTTTTATATTCTTCATATGCTTGTTTTAATCGTGTACAAGCTTCCTTTAATCCATCACAATCAGTAATAGAAATCGACAGACGAAGATAATTAACTAATTCTGCTTTAGCTTTTGTACTATGAGCAAATAATCGTCCAGGTTGAAATTTAACTCCATGTTTTTGTGCAATAACTAGAAGTTGATCACAATCAACTGTTGTATCATTGAATTTTACCCAAAGAAAATAACCACCGGATGGTTGTCGACAAGTAATATTTTCATTACTAAATGTTTTCATTAATTCATCGTGTAATACTTGCATTCGTTTACTATATTCGACGCATAATTTTTCATCAAGAAATTTTTTTAATAAACCTTGTTCTAAAATTCGATCAACAATTCCAGAAACAAAAGGACTTGCACCACCACCACTCTCTATCATTCCATATTGACTCATTGCATGAACAAGTTCTTGATGTGCACATGCAAAACCTAAGCGTAAGGATGGTGGAAGAACCTTTGAAAATGAATGAAGTGCAATAACTGTTCTTTCATTATGATAACTAGCAAATGTTTTTGGGTGATCGTTTTTATCATAATTTAGAAGATGATATACTTCATCAGCTACAATTATAAAATTATATTTTACACTTAATTTCACAAGTTGTTCACGACGTTCATGTGACATTGTGAAGCCAGCCTAAATAACATAATAGATTATTTTATTTTTATTCTATAAGATAGAGAAATGTTTTTTTTTACAGGATTTTGAAATGTTGGTATTAGATAAATCATTTTAGGTTTTTTTCGTTCTAATATATCCGTTACAAATGTTGAATCTAATATAAGTCCATCTTCATCAGTTGAACACGATACAATGTGTACATGATGATCACGAAAAAGATCTAATGTATATAAATATGTTGGACATTCAACAAGTACAGTATCACCGGCTCTTAAAAACATTGTACATAACTGATCAAGTATGGCTGAAACACCATTTGTAATAAAGATATTTTCAAAGGTCAGTGTAGAAACTGAACATGTCTGACGCAAGAAATCTGCTATATGTTGACGAAATTCTATATTGCCTGCATAACATGGATAACCCCAATAGGTTCCTTGATTCCTACCGTTTTCATCAGCAAATATCTCTTCCGTAGCTTTTATAACAAGATCATAGGGTATCATACTTGTATCAGGTTCACCTTTATCAAGCTCAATAGTTGTTGTAACATTCATTTTTTTTTCTAAAGAGGTAATTGAATGATAGAGAAAAAAAGAGTCTAATGTTATTTTGTGATTGTATGATTTTTTTTTATTCCATCATTTCGCACAAGAACAATCATCAAAAACGAAAAGTAACAAAGCGAAAAAGAAAACACAAAGGATTATAAAATTGTGTCGATGGAGTGCATTATAGTTTTCTTCTATTTTATTAACTTGTGATATCTAATCGAGTTTTTTGAATCCAATATCACTTGAATATTCGCGAAAGCATTGACGGCAGATCATTAAGCCATACTACAAAATAAACATATTATTATGAATATAGAGTTCTGTTTTTTATTTCATTTCATTAAATTACCTTGCGAATAATACCATGACCATTAGAGCATACACGGCATTTACGACTGCCGGGGCCGTATCTATGCGGATGCGATCGAAAGATTGATGAATGACCCATAGTTTGATGGTGAAGTTGATATTAATCAAAGAGTCGAGATGGATCTAAAAAAAAATCAAAACGTTTTCGAAAGAAATCCAATGAAAAAAAAAGAACTAATGGTTGTTGTTTTTATTTGTTTGTCGATTTAGTCTTCCATATTATAGTACGACAAATCCCCTCCCGAGTAAACAACATAAAAAATGTAACGAAAGATGTCAGACGAAGTTATATTTCTGATTGGTTAGAATTTCCATCAGAGAAAAACAAAAGAAAGACAAGTTCAGTTAAGCAAGAATAGACACGGAAACAGAAATTTTCTTTTTTCTTATATTTTCAGATAGTAGTTAATTGGTGATTCTACGAGAATGGTAAGAAAAAATTTATATAAAAAGATCAGTATTTAAAGGTATTGTTTTGTTCTCTTTTAGCCAACACAAGGAAAAAGCAGCAAAATGCTGCAACATATTAATTACCGTATGTAATTACTCATTTTAATATAATTCTTTTTAATAATTTCTTTTATTTATAGGTATGCGTTGTACATTACAAGATGGTCGTCAACTTGTTGGAACATTTAAAGCATTTGACAAACATATGAATCTTATTCTAGCCGATTGTGAAGAATTTCGTAAAGTACGAAGTAAAACAGATAAAGGTGAACGTGAAGAACAACGACCATTAGGTTTAATTTTACTACGTGGTGAACATTTAGTTTCAATGACAGTCGAAGGACCACCACCAAAAGAGGTTCGTAATATTTAACTTAGCTGAAAATATCTATATTCTTTTCTTTTCGTTTGAAGGAAGTTGGAATTGCTCGAGTACCGACAAGTGCAGCAGCCGCACAAGGTGCTGGTCGTGCAGCTGGACGTGGTAAGTTTAATTTTTCTTCTGAATATTGAATATCTTTATAATTTAATTTATTTATAATAGGTGTCATACCACCAGTACCAGGTGCACCCAGTTTTGCTGCTCCTGGTCTTCAAGGACCAGTACGTGGTATTGGTGGACCGGGATTTAATCAAATGAACCCTGCTGGACGTGGCATGCCAGGAGGTATCAGAATGCCACCTGTTCCACCGCCAATGGGAGCACGTATGTTCTTTAATAAATCATTTTAATCTTATATTTTGTTATTTCTCTTTTACATTTAGGTCCTCCAGGGATGTAATTTCAAAAAAAGTCTATGTATTGTTTTTTCTTCGTTCATCTGTTATTGTTCTATTATCATTCATTTTGTAAGCGAAATAAAAAAAAAAGATCAACAAATACACAATATTTTATATTTCATCATTATGTTTAAAAAGTTTTTCTTGTCGATTATCACCATAATCAACAATAAGAATTTTCTTTTCTTCTTCTCGTTTACGTTTAAGTATAGTTTGTGTAGAATATTGATTAACATCATATAGAAACTTGCCATAAGCATTTTCATCATTGTTTAATAAAGTTCGTCGAATTCGTTTAACCATAGTAGAACGTTCATTTGGATAATGTTCATAAGCATCATTATACCATTGAATTGTTTCTCGAACAACTTGTTTTAATGGTGTTGGTTTCCAATTGAATTGATTCGATAATGCTTTTGAAATATTTATTCCACCACGTGTTACACTAGGAAAAAGATCAGCCTCAGTATTTGGATTATATTTGATTGGAATATGTAATATATTTAAATTTAATTCATCAATTATCATAGATAATAAATCATTGATTGACACAATTTCTGTACAACCTATATTGAGTATTTGATTGTAAAAGATTGTTGATGAATCAAGAAATGTTATTGAAAGTATATGAGTTAGATAACGTGCTACATCATTAACATAAACATAAGATGAACGGAGATTTGTTGATATTTCTAGAGTCTTTTGTATAGAAGTATAAAATTGTATCCACATTTGATAAAACCACCAACGATCTGTAGAATCACGTGGACCAAGTACATCAGGAAGACGAAGAATAACATAGAACCAATTATCATTTGATTTTGATTGCCATTGAGATAAATATTCTTCAATTCTATATAATTTAAGAAACTTTTAGAATAAAATTAGAATTTTTAATTGTAGTATACTTTAATTTTTTATGACCATATGAATCTTTTCTTCGTAATCGTTCATATTCATCCGTATTTGTTGGTCGAATACTATCAATTTCACTAGAAAGACTATTTGAAGTCGGCAGACAAACCTATTTTAACAATTCAATTTTATTTTCTAAATTTAGAAAAATTTATACTTCATAGACAGAATCTGTACTAATGTAAACATAAAGTTTAATTCGACCTTCAAGAGCTTTTAATGCATCTTTAACAACATCACTATCATATGCACTGAAGTCAATAA